GTAGTTCGTGCCATCAAGTACAGGAGGTCGCATAGAAGCAGTCATCTGAGTATCCATCACGAATTCGTTTCTGTAAAGAAAATAGGAACAAACACTTAGTATACGTCAAGTGTTGGCTCTTGATGCCAATTGAAAGAATTTATGGTCCCGAATTCGTATTATACAGAGATGTTATCTAAAATGTTATGACACTTGAGACAACATGCAGCGGAAATATAACTATTAAAAGACAATGCTCAGAATTAAAAATGTTCACAAGTAAAGACTTGTGAACTTGCCCTTTACAGGACGGAAAAATATATTAAAATCAGTATTCCAAGAATACAAACAGAAGAGTGCGAAAACTTCTTCCTTATGAGTGAATCTTTTTCAAGATCACTCTTACAACCAAATCTAGATACTAAAAGAAAGATATCAAAAATTCTAGATTTCAAAGAATGTACTCATAAAGAGTACGTACAACAGATCCTAGAAAACACACTAAAATTCTTGAGATTAAAACTTCAGCTCTATTTTTGTTTCCTCGAAAATCTGTCATAATCTTGAGTCTTGAGTTTGGTATTTATAGACTTGCCAAGCTTCCACTCCTCAGCCCATGACCTACAAGAAAACCAACCACAAAAGCACTCAAGATAATGGGTTAGTGGGTTAGTTAGGAAGTTAAGATAAATTCCATAATTAAATCCACTAAGCACTACTTAACCCTACTTAGCCCACTAACTAAGATTTAGTTTAGAAGTTAAGGAAAGTTAAAAACACATTGTGAAATTAATTCACGTGTTTCATAAAGAATACCGTGTGTTCGCTGCAATTCCAGCGGCATACCCCACTTTTTGTAGGGTGTCTCTCTATATTGAGTGAACCCACCCAACTCTAGTTAAATATTTCAGTTATGCTTTGGGGCCGTTCATTAAATATTTAAGTTGTGCTTTGGGTGCGTTCATTTTGTAATTATATTTTGTTAAGGTTGTAGTCATTATGAAATTTTTGAATTTCACCAATTTCGATCAAAATATATCTAAATTTGGAACCGCATTTTTTTCATTTCGATTTTTGATTCTTCCAAATTTATTTGTAATGATATTGGAAGGTATATAAAATGCCGGAAATTCCGATTTCCGCTCCAATTTTATTTATGAATATTTCTATGGTTTTTCCAAAAATATAATATAATTCTATGATATATTTTGTAATTCAATAATATAATGTATGTTGTATTTTATATGAAAAACACAAATACCGAAGGTTCCAGTAAATTAAAACCTTAGAAAATATTTTTTGGTATAGAAACGTGTTTTGTCGAACTCTCTTTTGGGTATTCTTGCATTTCCTGCAAAATAAAAAAAATAGAAGAATATTGCGAAAATTTCCATTTACATCCCAATGTGGAACAAAAAATTATAAACTAATGTAATTTCTGAAATTTTCGAAATTCCGCTGATTTTGAGGCATTCTAAAATCGGAATGAGTTTTTGCATTGTGATTTTTTCAGAACGAAAATTGGAAACCATTTTTACTTGGGGTAACTACATATAAATCCCCAAACCCAAACTTAAAGCGCGGATCAGTCCCTACAGATGTTTCATAGGCGTATCAGTTCATAATGCAAAGTTTAACATGCAGTTCAATCCCTAGGAGGCAGGTGAAAAATTTAAAATAGTATTTACTTTAATCTTAGATATCTTTTCCTTCTCTCTCTACCTTTTCTCTTTCATCTTTCCTCTTTTTCTTTGTCTCTTCCTTGCCCGTTCCAATTCAGTTTTCTGTTATTTTTCTTCAAACAACAAACGAAGCAACAAGAACAGAGAAAAGGAAGAACCAAAGTAGTAGAAGAAGAAAAAAGCAAAAAGAAAAGAGGAAAGAGACCCATTTTCGAAGAATGATGAAGGGAAAGAAACAAGATTTGATTTTTTTCCCATAATCATTATGTCGGTTCCAATATATGTTGTTTTGTTGTTTGAGTTTGCAAATATCATTATTTATTGTCGAATTGCATGATTTTGAACACTTCCTCTCCTGAGTATTCTTCTTCGGCGACATTAGCATGTCCCCAAAGCCCAAAGCATTTTTAGTCCTAACAAAGATTTGTTGTATGATGTTTGATGACTTTGATATAGGATGTGGGAAAGAGGCTTATTGTATTATTCATGGTGGTGTGGTGTAGTATATGACATATGCAATAATAGTATTGCTAGTGCATTTGAATGGTGTTGAAAAAGAGTAATATAAGTAGTGGTAGTAGAACTTTAGAGTACATTGTATTTGTGATAATTGTATTTATGTGTATGTAGTTGCAGGAATTTGTTCTTTTGTTGTAGAGCTAATAATACTATTGGTTATCTGTACTCGTACTTTTATATTGCAAAAACATTGTACCATATGTTTGATGAATTGCATTGATCTGTTGAACACATGGTACTATATTTTGTGATGAATTGAGTTTATATGGTTGACTTGGCCCCAAAATAATATAAATAATATAAACGTACCATACTAATGAACAACAACTACTTTCTAGTTTATTCGAAGATACTGTATCAACCTTAGAACTGTACTTCACATGTGTATTCAATGTACTTACATGTTTCACACATCGAACTATAGTTTGTGATGAATTGAGTTGTACCAATTTCCTTGACACTTTATTGATCAATTAGTATGGGAGATGCGTAAATTATGTTTTAGATGAGTATTTTAAGGTTGGTGAGCATTACTGTTGCGTTTGGAGTACAATATGTTATAAATATGTTGAATTTCATACATGATACTCATAAGTGTACAAGACACCATAAATTGTTGGATATGTTACATGATACTCATATAAGTGTATAAGGCTCATGTGTGGAGCTAATATTTTACTCAAATGTTGCTATAATCGATGTCGATCTACTCCTACATTGTCTCATGTCATGTTAATAGTCTAAAAATGAAGAAATGTGTCTTAAAATGATATTTTATGGATGCATTTGCTCCACAATAATATAAATAATATAGTATGACGACAACATATACTTTATGAATGAACTCATAGTACTATATGCATGAATAACCCTAATTTTACCCGTTTATACATTGTACTTGTGGAACAATTCATACTATTTTTTTTATGAATAGAGTTGTACCAATTTCCCTGACACTTTAATGATCAATTAGTATAGGAGATGCATAAATTATGTCTTAGATGAGTATTTTAAGTTTGGTGAACATTGGTGTTACGTTTGGAGTCCAAAGTTCCACAAATATTTTTGATTTTCTACATGATATTCACATATAGTACAAGGCTTGTATGTAGGACTAGTATTTTTCTCAAATGTGACCATAATTAATGTTGATGAACTCCCACGTTACTCATTTCAAATAATTAGTCATTTGGAATGCCTCATAAAATTAGTTTATATTGTTGTATTGCTCCCAAAATAATATATATAATGCAAGCGTAACATATTAACGAAGAACATCTACTTTGTCATTGAAAGAAGCATACCCTATGAATGGACAACACGTGCACCACCGGTGTAATGCATGTACTTTTCTGTAGAAAAAATTGTACCATAATTATAATGAACTAAATTGTACCAATTTCATAGAAAATTTAGTGATCAGTGAGTGTGGGAGAAACATAAAATATATTAAATAACTATTTTAAGATTGATGAACAATGGTATTACAATTAGAGTTTAGAATGTCACAAAATGCCCACATGATACTCACATAGACAACACCGACTTCAACACGTACAGTTAAACCTCTATAAATTAATACAGTTGGGACCATCAAGATTTCATTAATTTAGCGAAATATTAACTTATCGATAAATTAATAATTATTAATTTATACATTAATTAATAACTTATTAATTTATGAAATTACTTTTATTATTATTTTCAATAAATACATTTTTTTTAAAATTTTTACGTATATATTATTCATTGTACCATTCGTTCAATGCACTATAGAGCCCGTTTCACGAATGGAAGCTTTTAAAACAGTAATGGTATAGAACGATTTATGTTGAGTTATTAGAAAACTATACCGAAAGTTCTAACCATGTTAAGAAAAGTGAGGGACGAGATTGATGATAATGTGAACTTCTACAAGAAACAAGTGAGAATTAAATTATATTATATTAACTCTTCATAGATCTATAAAATATGCACTGTAATATGTAATTTAAGAATTTTTTTTATGCATTATTAATTTATATATTATATGGGGCTTCTTAAAATTTCCGAATGTGTATTATCTTATAAATTTAGCGAATTATTAATTTAGCACGTTGTCCCCGAGTCGGGACCGGGAAAATTTATTATTTAAGCGAGGTTATTAATTTATCGGGTATTAATTTATCGAGGTTCTACTGTACTTATTGAAATCACTCAAAGAATATATTAAAAGTTAAAATAACTCAAATTTTCTATCTATCCAAAAGAAGCATGAATTTGTATCTCAATTTAGAACTTGCACATAAAATACCAATCATTAACTCGGGTTATTCATTACCATTGACCTTTATACTTGTAGAAAATTACGGTTCCATTTGGATGGAGGGATTTGGAGAGGAATTTGAAATCCATAATAACAAATCCATTTACTTGTTTGGATTGAGGAATTTGACAAGGAATTTCAAATCCACACCACTCCTTTTTAGTTGATTTTTGAGCAACTGTAGTGGATTTCAACCAACTCTAAATTGGTTCCTCAAATCAAATCACCCTCCAAATTCAAATGGACCAAATGGACCCTGTATGTTTTTGCTCTGCTCTGAAACTACAATAGGTGGTCTCACTCAACAACTTACCAGAAAAAAACTCACTACAAACAGTTCCAAGGCACATTTTGAAATATACATCAAAGCTAAGGAATACAAATCGCAGACAAGAGCAGAGCAGCCCTTTCTAGACATAACAAAATTCTTTGCCCAAATTCTATCACATCCGACCAAAAGAATACGGAAAGAGAATAAGAAGACTCTACTACTGATTAGCCTCGGTAGCTTGAGCGTTATTAATACTAGAACTATCACTTCCTCCGCTTGTAGGTAAAGAAACATTCCCTTGATACATTGGCGGTGGTGCAAACATTGGCGGTGGTGCACCCCCACTTGGCATTCCAGGAATCATCGGAGGAGGGGGTGGAAGCCCCCCTGGTCTTTGTAGACCGTTCATCTGACCTGGCATAGGAGCTCCCGGTGGTAGCACCATTTGTGGCATTTGAGGTGGTGCATACCCCCCTGCTTTCACAAGGATATATATTATGAGACATACAGATGAAGAAATGAACACAAGAAAAATGAACCAAAAATCTCTAATTGCATAGACAATTCGAAAAGAAATGAATACAAGAAAAATATAGATGCACGTAGATTCCAAATAATAAAGGAAGGGTATAAGTGGAATTTTGACGTACCAGGAGCACCGGGTGGCCGGGGCAAAACAGGAGGTCTAAATTGCATACCGAGAGGATACTGGCCTGGGAGAGGCATGGGCATTAAACCGGGCCTCATTTGAATCGGATTATAAGCGACACCTGGTGGGGGTCTAAATGCACCTAGATGTTCCTTCACTTTTTGGTCTATCAAACTTTGATTTAATTGCGCCTCGTACTGTTGGTAGTATGTTCGTACATTCGCCTGCGAGACAATACATGATGATTATATTATTATCAATATAACCTAACTTAGTACCCCGTTAAAGTAAGTTTTGCGGCAAATTCATGACTGGGTAAAGAGATTACCTTGTGCTTGTATCCTGCGTTATGTTGTTTTCTCACCGAAGGCTGCAAATAATAACACACCAACATTTTTTTTTTAAATTAGGATTTTCAAGACGAGGTGAATTAATTAATTAACCCTGCCCTAACGAAACAGGCGAATCAATAAGTAAACAAAGCTAAAAGAAGATCGTAACTGAATAGATGGAAAATTCATCCACATTTATCGTGCATCGCACAATTTCCAAAACCCTCTATCCATTTCGCAACATATTTAATATAAAAAATTGATTCGTAAGCATGTATTTCTCAAGTAATTAGCCAAGCATAAACAAAAATCACGAACAACTAAATCTAATAAAAGATTAAGGTATTAAAAAAAAAAAAAAAAAAAAAAAAAAAAAAAAAAAAAAACTGGAAAGAGAGAAATTCAAGAAACAAGACTCACGGAATCATGCGTCAGATAAGTGTCGCAGTAGTCACAGTAATACCTGAAGATTAAGAAAAATAATAGGAAAAAAAAACAAATTTAATTAATTCAGATGTAGAAAAAAACAAAAGAAACGCCACAAAATTGAGAAAAATAAATGCAAGTAAATAAAGAGATATATACCTGGGCATCGCGTAATCTTGAGCTAAATGTGTCAATTATAGAGATTCAGCATAGAAAGAAAATTGAGGTATTGGCAGATCGGAAGGAAGAAGAAGCAGCAGAAAACCCTAGGTAAGAATGAGAAGCGCGAATTCTGTCTGGTAATACAGACCTAACGCTTTTACTGTTTTACATTCGGATATCACGGTTCAAGTGTACAGAACGAACCGGGTCGGGTTTTTGGGCCGAATGTGAGCGTGGCCCAAGCTGATTCTCGAATGGCCCGGCTTTATTTTGCTTTTGCATTATGCATTTTGCATTAGTCATCTCTCTCTCTCAACTAGTTTATATTTTGTGTTTTAATTTGTTACTACTTAAAATCTTGACTTCAGATCATACAAATGTGATAATTGTTAAATTGGTATTTTAAGAAATATATTGGCAAAACAAAATAAAGGTATTCAATAACATTCATGCCGACGTTCCGAGATGCAGCGCGGC